CTGCGGTCATTTCCACTCCCTCCCCCATGCCGCCCAGACGGCTGCCCCTCCACTCCACCGGGCAGCTCTCCCATCATGTCCTGAGGCCACGACCTGCCTGCTGCCCCTCGTCACCTCTCTGTCCTTATCCTCTGTGATGTCTCAGGGCCTGCAGCTCAGTTTACCACTCCCTTTTACTTGAAACGCTCTTTCTTGGTTTCCCCAACAGACAGCACCCCTTCTGGGTTTTTAGCTTATCAACAAATGTTGGCTTTCCTTCTCAGCCTCCTTTCCTGGTTCCTGCTCTTTCTCTCAACTTTTAAATGGTGGAGTGGCCCAAGACACTCTGGTTGTTCTCTCTCTCTCTCTTTTATTGTTATTGTTGAAGCATAATTGACATACGGCGTTATGTGAGTTTCAGGTGTGCAACATAGTGATTCGACAATTCTCTGCATTACGCAGTGCTCACCACGGTAAGTGGAGTCACCCACCATCTGTCACCCTACAACGTTATTATGGTTTTATTGACTATAGTCCCTATGCTGTACTTTCATCTCCATACCTTATTTCTGGTTGTTTCCTCTGGATCTGCATTCTTTCTCTCAGTGATAGCATTAGGTCCTGTGGCTGAGAAACTTCATCTCTACGCAGATGACTTCTGAACCAGTATCTTCAGCTGAACTTGCCCTTCAGCCCCAGGATCCCGCATCCTGCTACTGAAGGCAGGCCTCTGGGATGTCAGATGGCATCTCGAACTCATCAAATATAGAATTTTGACTTTTCTTCTTCCAACCACAGTGGATGATTCTATACTCAAACATGCCAAGCTCATTTGCAATGCTGGGTCCATTGTGCTTGTGGTTTTCTCTGCCTGGAAATTTCTGCTCCCCCAAACTTATTTATTGGCGTTCTTTCTTACTATTCAGTTGTCAGATCACATCGACCCTTCTGAGAGGACTTCTGGTCACCCAGCCTAAAGTAGCCTCCTAAATTCTCTCTGTTCTTTCTCCTGTTTTAATTCTCTGCACCCTGGTTATTATCTTCTGATATTTCCTGATTTTTATTTGTCTGGTGTGTTTCGCCCCCTGGAGAGGCAAGCGCGGAGGTGGGGCCTGCATGTGTCCTGGCCACTGCTGTGTCCCCAGAGCCTGATGCAGGCCTGAGCCTCTGTGTGCTCTGTAAGTATTTGGTGAGTGACGCGTGAAGCCACTCAGCTTCTTTTGTACTCATGCCCAACTCTTGAGAGTGACTCATTAGGAAGTGGGAATTCTGCCTATTTTTTCAGACTAAAAATTTGATTTTTGAATTAGTAAAAAATCCTTAATCTATACTGTTTCAGAAGAAACAAAAAACTTTGTCTTTTTTTTTTTTATTAAATGAGGGATTAAAAACTCAGTTACCTCCTCTCCACCCCGACTCTTGTTGATCCATTTAAATAGTAGGAAAGGACTGAAAAATTTCCAAAGCACCAGGAGAGAGAAAATGAGAGGAGGGAACAGATAAGAAAATGTTTGCTGAGGTTTGAAGGCTGGAAGACAGAGTGGTGAGGTTCAATGGGGCGCCTGCAGGAAGGGGGTGGGTGGGTGAGCTGGCTCAGTCTGGGTCCCCATGGGCTCGGGACCTAGAGGCACCAGGGACTGTGAAGCAGGGAGCTCAGGTTGGCGACCAGTTTCTCTGCGGAATGGCTGGACCCTCACGTCCCCATTTTCATCCAGGCTACTACATCCCTCCCTCTGAGCTGAAGGAGATGGGGAGTGGGCAGAGGCTCAGAGCTCAGTGTGTCAGGCTGAATGGTGAGAGCAGGCAAAGGGCACATGGGAAACAGGAGGATTAAGGAAAGGTCTTACTTTAAGCAGTGAGTAACCTGAGCCATAGAACCTGCAGGCTGGGTTGCCTCTGGGATGCACAGGGCCAGCAAGTATTTTTGCATGGTGTCTTTTCTTATCATAAATTATCAATTTGAGCCACATGAAATCAGCCTGTTAGGTCTTTTCTGGTGACCCAATCTCATGCAATGCTGTGATAAAAATACGGTGCCTACTGGCAGGGTTTGTGGGCTTGCTAGGCCACCCTCCTGGAAACGTGGCCTGGCCACTGGACTTCAGGATGATTCCATAAATATGTGTCTTGGAGCTCCTGGGGCCATACGGTTAACCCCTTTCATGAAGGAGAGGGTCAGAGAACACCCTGAGGGGGAGAAACAAGGGACTGGGGCTCATGCGGGACCTGGTCTGGACTTAGGGTACCTTACCTGGATACCACTGCTGCCCCTGCCAATCCTCGGAGGACTCTTTCTGGCCTTTCCTGGGGGACACCTGAGGGGGATGTTTGCAAAGAAGGCATTTCAAGGCATGGCGTTCCTATGAAATGTGGGACGCAAGCTAGGGGTTCTGTTAGCTAAGGTCTCAGGGCTGTCTTGCCTGCAGGCTGCCTCCCCCACAGACTTCGGTATGCTGGTGCTCAGACTCCACCTAGTAGGATAGAGGAGAAGACACGGAATAATCTCCGACAAAGGACCTCTAGATACTTACACTGGAGTATTGAGTATTTTCCTCAGTGAAATGGCTGATTCCTCATCCAGTCATCCTAGAGTGAAGCCCACTTCCCAGGGAAGTCCTGTCTACACCCTCTGAGTCTCCCATTCGGATAGTTATTTCCTGTCTTGAATGTGGACAGCCAGGAAACGTCAGACATCTGAGAAAAGCCTCCAACACCAATGACAGGCAACACATAAAACATACTTTAAAGGGAAAAAAAAGCAAAAAACAGAGGAAATAGACCTAAATCAGAATATGGGGTGGGGGGGCGGGTAGAAAGCTCTAAAGTCCTCAAAGATGAAACATTACACTCTTGAAACCAGGACAGGGTGCAATGAAGCAAAAAGGAACAACCAAAGAATAAGAATGAGGGCTTTAGGAATTACAAATGCAATCTGTAATAAAAAATGTAGTAGTTGGTTTAGACAATAAAATCAGTGAATCAACCAGGAAGTAGAACAGCAAAGGCAGGGGAGAGAAAATAAGAGAGAAATGCTAAGCCTCCTAGAGGATTAAATCAAGGAGTCCAGAATTTGACAAAAAGGAGTTCTAGAAAGAAAAACAATGAGAGGAGAAGAAATTACCCAAGAAATTCTAAGCCAAGGTGTATCAGACTGGAAAGATCTGAGACTTCAGGCAGAAAGCTCCTTGCATGCCTAGCACAATCAATGAAAGAAAATCCCCACCAAGGCACATCATTTAACCATGTTCAGAACATCAGCGATAAAGAGAAAAATTAATGTCTCATGCAGAAGATTGAGAATCCACGTGGCAGTATCGGATGCTGGGAAGTAAAGTCTTCCAAATTCTGCTTTAGGAAAGTGGTTTTTAATTGAATTCTATGCTCAGCCAAATTAGCAGTTATATCTGAAGGCAGCATATAGATGTTTTAAGACAAGACTCAGAGTGTCTCCCTGTGCCTCCATACTTGAGAAGTCCTGCTAGCTATGTTGTTGCAAAATGACGAAGTGGCCAAAAAAGAACGTGGAACAAAGAAACAAGAGCTTCAACTGGAGGAGGGCTGAGAAATGAGTCCCCGGGTGGATGGACGGACAGGAGACCCGGATAACAACCAACTGAGATGGGAGAAGAAGGAAGGCTGGCATCTGGGGACAGTGGCGACCCCTGAAAGAAGATAACTGCTGTTTACCTGTTAAAATAATAAACACAGAGAAAGATTTACGACAGATCTTAGAGAAGTGGGGAAAATTCAATATGCAACTTCAGGATAAAACAATTATGAACTCAGGAAAGAAAAAGCCATCGTACTACCATATTTTACTGAATATAAGATGCCATATTAGTTAACTATTGATTTTTAATCATCATTTTAAGAAGAAAGAAAAAACCGTTGCCTATTAAAAAGGCAACTTGCAAGTCTTGAGACATACCCACATTATGTTAGAAAGTTACAAAACGTACTTCTTATCATTGGTGAAAACAGCACCCTACTTTGGCTTTGCAGTGAACTGTATTTACACCGATTATTGATTTCACCACAAATTTTGATGTTGACATGCTAAGGATGAGGAGAGGAAAAGTCTGGGCGTGTACCTGTGTGGCAAACATAAGTGTCAAATACTCACGTACCAAAAAGAAAAGGCAGTAGTTTAATGTCTAGAACTGATAAATAAAAAAATTAGCTGCGTGATTCAGACAGAGATGTCACCACATGAAGGAACAGCTAAAATAACTGAGAATGGTAGCCTCTGGGCACTGGGTGAGGATGGGTAGTTTGGGGTGACGTGGTCTGGAGAATTGCTGGTTCTGAAAATGAGCCTATAGCAGCATATAATGCATGTTCGACACCTGCCGGTTACTTTGATGTGAACAAAGGTAGAGGGAAATACACACACACACACACACACACACACAGCTTTTTGGAGTTTCAAAGTGTGACAATTGGAGATGTGGGTCCCCCGAAACCTGCTTGTCTTGGAAATATCTTATCCAGACAGAAGGTTAAGACATGATCATATCCTGCTTAATTGCCCTCCAGAAGGAGTGGTACCTACCCTCCGTCTCCCCCAGAATGCAAGTGTGGCCAAGGATGGCCCAGCCTCCTCTTATCTTTGCAGAAAGCTTTGGGGTCTACAAATTATTCCACGCATATTTTTTTTAAAGATTTATTTATTTATTTTAGGGAGGGAGGGGCAGAGGGAGAGGGTGAGGGAGAGAAGCTCAAGCAGACTCCACGCTCAGTGGGGAGCCCAACACAGGGCTCGATCGCACGACCTTGAGATCACCACCCGAGCTGAAACCAAGAGCTGGTAGCTTAACCGACTGAGCCACGCAGGCGCCCCTGTTCCCCGGATTTTAACCCGTTGGATCCTTCCCTGACTATGGCCATTTCCTGTGTCGGAGAATACACCTGAGCCGCCAGCCCTGGCCCACCCCACCCCGCCACAGCACAGCCCTGCCCCAGAGTCACAGGGGCACTTCTCTCTCGTGACCTAACGTCTTTCTGTCCCCATGATATTTTAGAGGAAAGAGGAAGAGGAGAGGAAGCGAGGAGAGGAGCAGATTCGCCTGCGGGAAGAGCAGAGGGCCAAGGAACTCTACTGGACCCTGAAGCAGGCCCAGCTGCAGAGCCACGCCAGCGAGAGCGAGGAGCGGGAGTGGGAGGAACAGCGTGAGTAGACCGGCCTGCCGCCCCACCAGCTCTCCTCCCGCAGCTTATCTGCGCCGTCACCTTCAACCTGCGGGTTCACGCCTTCCGCCCCAGGCCTTTACGCAGGACACACCCTGCACGGGGCCCTGCTAAGGACCCAGAGGGTGAGGGCTCCGCCCGCCGAGAGCTTATTTATATGCCTATGGAGGAGATTTCTTACACTAAAAAATATTGATTGCGTTACCAGTACTTTACTGGCTCTGTGCTAACCTCTGGGCACCCAGAATGGAGGGATCACCGTGCTTATCTTGGAGGAACTCCCGGGCCGGGCGGGAGACAGACACGCAGGCTCCCGGCTTTGAGGGAGAAAGTACCACTCCTGTTGGGAGTACAGAGTGGCTATCCCGGTGGGCTTCCGGAGGCAGCATGACGAGGCGAAGCTTGATGCGGGCCCAGGAACAATGGAGGCGAAGGGCGGGTGAGGGAGAGGGTGCCCCAGACGGAGGCCCCAGCCTACGTAGGGGCATGGTGATGGGAATGGGACGTGCGCAGGAAGGTGGAGATGTCTGGGGCGGGCTACAGAGGCTACACAGCTTGGCGAGTGTCGGGGGGGAGCGAAAAGTTGGGGAGGGGGGAGGGGGAGGCGGAAGCAGATTTGAAGGGTGGTGTTTCAGTATGTGCTCAGGCTTCGTTTGAATCAGGTCCGGTAACACCTGGATCATATGGATAATGTGGAAATGACGACGTTGCCCCAAGAAGTTTTTACTCACAGGGAGCGGGACACGCCGGGCGGGGCTTCACGGGGAAGCACCAGGGCCCGTCAGGGGGCGGAGGGAGCCAGGGCCCAGTGCTGGCCTTGTGGTTTGCTGGCGGCAGGTAAGGCCAGGCAGGGGAAGCAGGTGTAGGATCGGCTGGTTTGAATAATGTCTGCAGGCTCTGGGGCACAGGGGCTCTCTAGTTGTCTGACGCCTGGCCCTGGGGTGAGGAGGGCAGGTGGACAGGCAGAACTAGATAGAGGAAGTGATCCGAGTATTTTGGATTGGCTGGTTTGCAAATGAAAGGCGGGTGAGTCCTCTAGTATCTTTAGGAATTGGCCGTCCCTGGGGGGGCCAGTCTCTCTCGGCTCAGCAAGGTCCCAGAAGTCAAAACATGGAGAAAATAAAAAGGCATGGTTCCTGCAGGTGGGCATTGGGACACTTGTAAAGGTGGGTTTGGGGGTGACAGACAGGAAGAGGCTGTTGCAGTGGTACCCCCGAGAGATGACTGGGGCCAGGGCCACGACAGGCGGCGAGCATGCCTTCTACTCCCCAGCCCTCTGGTCCGCAGCCTTTTTCAACCACATGCCAGATTCATTCAGCAGACTAGAAAAAAAAATTGAAATACAATTCAAATAACATAAAATTCATCCTTTTAAAGTGTACAGTTTAGCGGCTTTTAGGATACTCAACGCCTTGTGCAAACCACCGTCACTGTTACTTCCAGAGGTCTCCTCACCACAAAGAGAAACTGTCCCCATTGGATTTTCCTTCTCCCGCCACACCTCTGGGAGCCACTAATCTAATTTCTGTCCCTATGGATTTGCCCATTATCGATATTTCATATAAATAGAATTATACATGATGTTTATCCATTCATTAGTTGATGGACCTTTGGGTTGTTTCTACTTTTGGGCTATTATGAATAATGTTGCTGTGAACATTGGGGTTTTTTTTTTGTGGTTCTTGAACGTGTGTGTTTTTACTGAAAAATATCACTCATAAATTAACAGAAATGTGCAAACACATGAGTAAATAATGTAGTGACAAAGACTATTTTTGTGAAGTGTTTTTTTAAGTGAAGATTTAAGTGAAATCTTTAGATTTCAGTGCAAAATGTACCCCTGGCACCTCTTAAAACATAAGTGCGAGCTCAGAAAAACATAGTAGTGACTGGATATTTACCCCAAAGATACAAATGTAGTGATCTGAAGGGGCGCGTGCACCCCAATGTTTATAGCAGCAATGTCCACAATAGCCAAACCATGGAAAGAGCCTAGATGTCCATCAACAGATGAATGGATAAAGAAGATGTGGTGTACACACGCACACACACACACACACACAATGGAATATTATGCAGCCATCAAAAAAATGAAATCTTGCCATTTGCAATGACATGGATGGAACTAGAGGGTATTATGCTAAGCGAAATAAGTCAGTCATAGAAAGACAAGTATCATATGATCTCACTGATATGAGGAATTTGAGAAACAAGACAGAGGATCATAGGGGAAGGGAGGGAAAAATGAAACAAGACGAAACCAGAGAGGGAGACAACCTATAAGAGACTCTTAATCTCAGGAAACAAACTGAGGATTGCTGGAGGGGAGGGGGGTTGGACAGACGGGGTGGCTGGGGGATGGACACTGGGGAGGGTATGTGCTATGGTGAGTGCTGTGAGTTGTGCAAGACTGATGAATCACAGACCTGTACCCCTGAAACAAATAATACATTATACGTTAATTTAAAAAAACAAACAACGCCCCCCATAAAACAAAGCCAAAACCAAAAAAAAAAAAAAAATCCGTAGTGGTTGAAGGAAGCTAGCTACGTTCCATGCCATCGTCCAGTTTCTTCCCATCCTTGCTAATGCTTGGCATCTTTTGTCTTTTTGATAATAGACGTCCTAACAGGTGTGAAGTGATGTCTCTTTGTGGTTTTGATTTGCATTTCCCTAATAATTAATGATGTTGAGCACTTTTTCATGTACCTATTGACCATCTGTATATCCTTTTGAAAAAATATCTATTCGGGTCCTTTGCCCATTTTTTTAAATTGGGTTATTTGTTTTTGGCTATTGAGTTGTATGGATTCCTATATATTTTGGACATTAACCCCTTATTAGATATTTGTAAACCCCTATATGTGGTTTACAAATATTTTTTCCTATTCTGCAAGTTGCCTTTTCGTTTTGTTGATGTTTCTTTTACTGTGCGGAAGGTTTTTATTTTGACATAACCCCACCTGTTTTTGTTTTTGGTGTCATAATCCAAAAAAAATCACCAAGACCAATGTCAGGGAGCTTTTTTCTTACGTTTTCTTCCAGGTGTTTTACAGTTTCAGGTCTTATAGTTAAGTCTTTAATCCCTTTTGAGTTGATTTTTGTGTTTGCTAGGAGATAAGGGTGCAATTTCATTCTTTTGTCTGTGGATATCCAGTTTTCCCGGCACTATTTTTTTGAAAAGACTATCTTTCCCCATTGGGTATTCTTGGTGCCTTTGTTGAAAATTATTTGACTGTAGGGGCGCCTGGGTGGCTCAGTCGTTAAGCATCTGCCTTCGGCTCAGTTCATGATCCCAGGGTCCTGGGATAGAGCCCCGCATCGGGCTCCCTGCTCCGTGGGGAGCCTGCTTCTCCCTCTCCCACTCCCCCTGCTTGTGTTCCTTCTCTCACTGTGTCTCTCTCTGTCAAATAAATAAAATCTTTAAAAAAAAAAAAGAAAATTATTTGGCTGTATATGCATAAGTTTATTTCTGAGCCCTATATTCTTTTCCATTGGTCTATGTGTCTGTTTTTATGCAAGTACCATACTGTTTTGGTTACTATGGCTTTGTAATATAATTTGAAGTCAGGAAGTTAGATGCTACTAGCTTTGTTCTTCTTGCTCAAGATTGCTTTAGCTATTCAGAATCTTTTTTGGTTCCATACAAATTTTAGGATTATTATTTTTTCTATTATCTGTGAAAAATGCCATTGGAAATTTAATAGGGATTGCATTGAATCTGTACATTGCTTTGAGTAGTATGTATATATTAACAATATTAATTCTTCCTATCTATGAACACAGGATATCTTTTTGTTTATTTGTGTCTTCTTTAATTTCTTTCATCAATGTCTTATAGTTTTAGTGTCCCAGTCTTTTGTCTCCTTGGTTAAATTTATTTCTAAGTATTTTATTAATTTTTTTTTCCTTTCCAAGTTTTTATTTAAATTCCAGTTAGTGGGGTGCCTGGGTGGTACAGTTGGTTAAGCGTCTAACTCTTGGTTTTAGCTCAGGTCATGATCTCATGGTCCTGGGCTTGAGCCCCGCGTTTGTCTCCATGCTCAGCATGGAGTCTCTTGAGATTCTCTCTCCTCTCTCTGTCCCTCCCATTCATGCTTTCATTCTCTCAAATAAACAAATAAAATCTTGAAAAAAATAAATTCCAGTTAGTTAACATACAGTGTAATATTAGTTTCAGTTGTAGAATTTAGTGATTCATCACTTGCATATAACACCCAATGCTCATCACAAGTGCCCTCCTTAATACCCATTGCCGATTTCACCCATTCTGATGCTATTGTGAGTGGGATTGTTTTACTAATTTCGTTTTTGGATATATATTGTTACTGCATGGAAACAGAACTGATGTTTATATGTTGATTTTATATCCTGCCACTTTACCAAATTTATTGGTTCTAACAGTTTTTTGGTGAAATATTTAGGGTTTTCTATATGTAAGGTCATGCCACCTGTAAACAGAGACAATTTTACTTCTTCCTTTCTGATTTGGATGCCTTTTACTATATTTTTTTAAAGATTTTATTTTTATTTATTTGACAGAGAGAGAGAGACAGCGAGAGAGGGAGCACAAGCAGGGGGAGTGGGAGAGGGAGAAGCAGGCTTCCCGCCGAGCAGGGAGCCCAATGCGGGGCTCGATCCCAGGACCCTGGGACCATGACCTGAGATGAAGGCAGACGCTTAACGACTGAGCCACCCAGGTGCCCTGACTTTTACTATTTTTTTTCTTGCCTAATTATTCTGGCTAAGACTTCCAGTATCATGGTGAAGGAAATGGTGACAGTGGGCATTCCTGTCTTGCTCCTGGTCTTAGAGCAAAAGCTTTCAGCCTTACGCTGTTATGTATGATGTTAGCTATGTGCCTGTCATATATGGCTTTTATTATGAGGTACATTCTTTCTATACCCGATTTGTTGAGAGTGTTTATCATGAAAAGATGCTGAATTTTGTCAAATGCGTCGTCTGCGTCTATTGAGCTGATC